TGTGTATATATGTATGTATATAACATTATTATAATATTATGCATACTGCGTATTATACATATATATATACTGTAATATACGACACGTTTAAATTATTCAAATACCTGAAATAGTGAAATGCCTATTGGTGTTTGGTTCTTGTCGTCGACGAATTGCGCTGGAACGCACATAATATAATAATAATAAATAATACGATATTATATTATAAACCAAATATAATAATAATAATAATAATAATCGTATATCAACTATCAGCCATACGGCTTGCCATTTATCGGACAGACACGCCCGACCATCATGTGCAATGCACATAATAATATATACGACGTACGTGTAATTTGCGACAACACGGCGACGACGGATAAACAACACGAATTATATTGGCAATCGATATTTCTCGGGGAGTTTTCAATTCTTCAAAAATTTTAGTTCGTGATTCGGACCGAGAATGGAAAGAATTTCAGTTAATCATTCACCCATAACGGGGAGCCTTTTGCGTACACATGTATTATGCAGGTAGTCATTGTGTTCGTCGTTTACTGCACAACACACGACTTATCCGGATGTATTCCGGCTTTAGATTAGGACTATAGGTAGGTATTATAAAACTTAAGTGTTTTATATTTWAAAAAATATTATCAATACCTACAGACACTTTTTTTCGCATTAATATTTTTATTTAAAACAATTTTTCATTGATCCGTTACTATTATTGATTAACGTTCAATTACGATAATATTTGCAATCGTTTATGTGACTAATATTAATGTTTTATACAACTCAAAATACTGTCACCCGCGGTTCACAGGAACTGTTTTGAAATCGTCGATGCCACGAACTTTTTCTTAGTCCCAACCTCCCAACTCCCTAGAATTTCCATTTATCATTTGACAACAAGAATTCTTGGATAACTTCGAACTTTTTGGTCGCTCCCTTCGACTTCGAGTAACCAAATCCGACTGGACTTTGATTGTCTGATTTTATAATATGTATATACCCAATATAAAATCAATGATATAATCTATAATATTATAACTATAGTAATACTCATAATAATTTCTTAAAATCTATATTTTTGTTAATTAAAAAAAAATTACACCTTAAACTCCTTTAATTTATTCGTAATCGATTTTTGCAGAAATAATTGTCACTGAAAATTTGTCACAACGTGAAAAATACAACCAATCTGTCATTTATCTTTTCAAATGATGCACGTTCAATGTTTATTATCATTTTTTAACTATATGTAGTTCTATATTTAACGCACACAGGTATCTGACGTTTATAGACCGAATTCAGTCCGAGTATAATAAGCGTATAATGAACTGGTTTATACAAATTAATGATTTTTTTTTTAAATCATACTACAGTAAATTATTGTAATAAATGTAATATGTTTGAGAGCTTTTGAAGATACGCATATTAAAATATGCATATATATATATATATTTAACGCATTAAACTTATTAAGGCCTATGGCAGGGGTGGCGAACCTTTTTTAGGTCTCGTGCCAAATTTTTGCAATCAAAAGTTTGACAATTTTTCACGTGCCCGAAGATTGTTAACACTAAGTAGAACATAATAAACATAGTAACATAATCGATTTTAAATAGAAATATTATAATTTTTAAAATGTTAATAATTTGTTTCTTTGAAATTTTTAGAAGCAAAATTTTACGAATATCATAATTTTTCACAATTTTAATTTTTTGCGTGTCATTTAAATTTTATAAACGTGTACCACTTCTGGCGCGCGTGCCGTGGGTTTGCCACCCATGACCTATGGGTTTATTTGTCGCGGAAATAGTTGAATCACCACATTTGTAAAATTATTCGATTCTGTATTGTATCGATGTTATATTACAACTTTGAACATTCACATATAATAATAATACATTATTAGCCTAGACTTTTGGAATACATGAGAAACTGGAGAATAAATTATAATATAATTATCGAATTAATTGTATCGTTACAGCGATTTAATTTTAAAACTACCATTATAACCTGCAGTGTGCAAATAAAAATTAAACTTTTCATCGAAATAAATTTTTTTTTTTTAAGTACTTAGTATAGATAATCATGTTGTTATTAATTTGTAAAATAAATAGATCATTATAAGAATATATTTTTGTGTCAAAAATATATTATACGAACACAAGTTCACTTATCCTACTTTATTTATGAGGATATTTTTTATCAGATTAAAATTCTAGGTTTAAGACAAAATTTGTAGTCCTG